CCTTCCTTCCTTCCTTCCTTCCTTCCTTCCTTCCTTCCTTCCTTCCTCCCTTTTCTTTTTCTTTTTTTTGAGACAGAGTCTCACTATTGTAACCCTTCCTGGTTAATCTAGAACTCACTGGAACAGACTGCAGTTGAACTCAGAGATCCACCTTCCTCTGCCTCCCAAGAGCTGGGACTAGAAGTATGTGCCACTGTACTCAGTACAAAGCTCTACAAAACCCAGCTGACAAAGCTCTAAGTCCAATTGGCAAGACAGATGTACCTGTGTTAGGCACACGAGGGAGAGAGCATGACCAAAAGGCCAGGAAGGTATATTATTTCCCTTCTTCTTCTCAACCATGCACTCTACCACTGAGCTATACTCCCCTGCCTTGTTAAGCTTTGAGACAGTTCACTAAATTATTCAAACTGGTGTAGAACTTACTCTGTAGCCCAGGCTGGCCTTGAACTTACAGAGATATGCCTGCTTCTGCTAGTGCTGGGACTAAAGGTGTATACCACCACTGCCTGGCATGCTTTGAACTTTTAATCCTCCCTAGTAGCTGACATTGCCATTCTGCACATCTCAATTGGCCCCCTCCCTTCCTCCTCTCTCTTTCTCTCTCTTTTCCTCTCTACTCCCTTTCTTTCTCCTTTCCTCTCCCCCAACTCCCCCGTGTGTGTGTTGCTGAGGATTGAACCAGGGTTCTTGTACATAACAGACAATGTTCTACCATTGAAATGTATGCCTGGCTGGGCGGTGGTGGCACGCCTTTAATCCCAGCACTTGGGAGGCAGAGGCAGGCGGATTTCTGAGTTCAAGGCTAGCCTGGTCTACAGAGTGAGTTCCAGGACAGCCAGGGCTACACAGAGAAACCCTGTCTCGAAAAACAAAACAAAACAAAACAAAAAGAAATATATGCCTAGTCTTATTTTTTAATGTATTGCATACTTTGCCATCTGCACACAAGAATCAGGATACGACTTAACCTCTACTTAGCTCAAAGTCATTGTTAGGAGCCTCTATATTTGTATCCTGTGGTAAAATGGTTTCAGGACTAATTATTTTTCTACCTCTTGGATTCACAGCCTGTCAGCTGTCGTGTCTGTCATTCATTCATGGCTGTCTCCCTTCTAGTTTTCCTTGAGCTGAAGGAATAGACAGCTACATTCGGTACATACTGTAGTGTGGCGGGTGAATAAGTAAGGCTTAGATCAAGAAAAGCACATGGCTGCTTGCCTGGGTCTTTGGGTGCAGAGACCTCCATCAGTGGGAGGGTAAACTCTGACCTCTGAGGCTGTAGAGTTGAAGGCAGACAGAATACTGGGGCTAGCGGAGTATTATTAAGGCCTCCACCTTATGAGTGATAGGACCAGACCACATTAGCCTGACTCCCGGGAACCATGGCTGTGTGGTTTGTCCTCAGAGGTTTTGCTTCAAGGTGCTGCCATACTTTGCGAATGTCCCAGGAACAGGAACCAAGGGCACACCATGCTGCCCTGTGTTGTTGACATCAACATGTTGAGATCTTGAGAATTAGGATGAAAACTATTGCCCCGTTGTGTTCTGGCGCTCCATCTCAACAGGCCCTTTGGGGCAAGGACAGGCAGCATGATACAGAGGACTTGAGACCCACAGAGCTCTCAGGGTTCGTCCCATGGTTGACAGTTGCCCGTGCCTGTAAGTTAGGGAGCTAGCAGGCCCATTTCCAGAGCTCTGTGTGTTACTTCTGTAGGTGTACCTCCTCCCTGCAGACTGAGCAGAGGGAAGAGCTTCAGACACCAAGGCAGGCCCCCTAGTTGCTTTCCAAAAGGTGTTTCTCCTTCCTTCCTTCTCCCCAAACCCAGCATCTGCCACCCTCGATTTTTTTTCCTTTGAAAAAAACAAAACAAAACACCCTGTAAGAGCCACTAGCCAGAAAAGGATGGTGGCACTCGTGGGTGCTGGTGATGGCGTGGTGTGGTAACTGTTGATTGAATAGCAAAAGTCCAAAGGGAAAAACAGAACTTGGGAGGGGAAAGAGCTCTGGGAGGGAGACGGTGCCAGGAACAACCTAGTTTTCTCTGGAGCTCTGGACCTGGCAGGGACTGGATGACCTGAGACAACGGAATGATGGGAAAGCCCAGAGACAACCTGGCAGCTTCCCCACCCGGTAAAGGCAGCTGCAGCACTTTCTCTGGGCAGCTGCAGAGACTCACTTCCTCAGCCCTGCCCCCTAGAGTAGCAGAAAGATGGAGGGCGGGTCTCAGACCGAGAGGTGGAGCATGACCTGGAATCCAGGCTTCTGCTGGCATAGATGAGGTAGTGGAGGCAGGCATGTCCCCGGATTAGGCAATGATCAGTCTCTCCTACCGAAGGAGAGAGTCATCACCACTCTATCCCCTTACAAGTACCAGGGCCGGAATTGAACCGATGTCCTTGCAAAAGGATCTTTTCCTGGCAACTGGAGGCAAGAACCATGGTGGGAAACTGTCGGTGGCCTGTGGTTCCTTCATAGCAAGGCTACTTTCATATGTGGCAATTTCCAGGTTCAAAACTACATCAGGTCCTCAGTGAGGATCCCTCAAGACATTAGTATTACCCTCTCACAGATGAGAACGCACTGAGCAGCTCACTGAATTAGCCTTTCCCCTTGCCATCGCCGCGTGCTTACGGCCATTCTGGGGGCAGCAACGGGCAGGGTTAGAGGAGGGCAGTCCTACTTGTGTTCCTTTTGCCTCCTGGAACCCCGACATGCAGTTGGGGCCCGGGGAGTGTGTAGCTGTAAGTCTGCATCAGGCATCCTCAGCATCAAGGTCCCTTTAATTGAGTCAGGCCCTCAATACCCAGCGATGTTCACTAACCCTCAGACCCTTAGAGGAGGAGGGCTTGGATG